GACCAAGAACTACAAATCAAAAATTTTGGTCGGGACACCTCTCACAAACTTGAAAAGCAATCGACAACCCAAACGTAACCATGCACAGATTGAAATTCCAGAAAATTCCCAAAACACACAAACAAATGGCAAGTATTCCAAAAAACAAAAAAAATAAGCGTGTAGTTATACAGTAACATGTGAAGAGCAAATACACACATGTTTAGACAATCATATAGTTTGTTTATTTTATTCAATAAAAGTAATCTTACAAAGTATAATTAAATCAATTTTCTATAAATAAATTGGTTGTTTTTTCCCTTACTCATAAAATGTTCTTGATCGATGTTGAACAAACCATTAAGAAAAATAAGGTGAGCATTTCCACTGCTCGCTTAATATTGCATGCAGAGTATATCTTTGAATATAAGTAACGCTGCAGTAGTGAGCCTAATTGTGTACCTTCCGTTAGGAATCGACTGTGTAAATTCAAAGATGTATCTAAGCTGATGATTAGGGTCGAAAGTTGGCATTTACAAGTACTATGATGCATGATGTATTAAATCTATATTTTTAATTTAGGAAAATCTTTTTCTCAAATTCAAGAATGAAATCATCGATGAATTAAAAGATGATTTTGAAATCAATGAATATTTTGATTCAAATATGATTGTAAATGATCGTAGCAAAGATATTATGATCTCAAGAGATGATATTGAAGCTTTGATTACTTGTAAATATAGACCAAAGGCAAAAATTCGATTTAATGATATCGAACGAACTGCTGCAATAAGTGAATTTTATGGTGTTCAAGGCATAGTTGTTACAAATCTTGGTTATGGAAAAGAAGCAATCAGAGTTGCGAAGAAACATGATATCATATTAACTCATAAGTTTGATATCAAGCATAAGTTAAATTTTTATATCGAGAAAGAAGTTGAAAGGAAGGAGTTGGATATCTTGGAGGATATTGAAAGAAAAGAAAAGATTTATCTTTGTATTCATGAATAAGAAAATTTATGCAATGGGGTGTTTATTTATATGAATTTTAATTTAAGATGTTTTATTTTTATTGATAATAAAATATTTACAGGTTAACAAGTTTGTATTGGAAAGAAAAAATATTTGTAATCATCTATCGTGAATGTATCGTTATGTTTGTAATCGAAA